ACAGACAAGTTTAATGGAGATGTGGCAGAAATCACTGTCTCTGCATCTTTCAAGTCTCTGACCATGGCACTGATCTCTGCAATCTCTTTGAGTTTACCACCTTAGCTAGAGGCAGGGTGAGCGGTTCCAGGGGGCTGCACTTGGTCCTTAGAACCATAATAACTTTCATCTCACGGGGCAAGGAATCAATGTGGGGCATCTGAAGGTTAGTAAGCATATTTATTCCACTGTACATTTTGAAACTGGGGAAATAACCACATTATGAGACAGACTCTGGCCAAGACTTCATCTACCTCTGACCTCCATAGCTTCCACTGTGGCAAGGGAACACAATGGCCGTTTGCTCTCCAGATTTTAGCTTCAGTTCAGAATCAGTATCAGTAGGCCCCATAAGTTCTCAGTATTTCTCTTTCCCTAGTGAACGATCACCATGGTAAATGGACACGGGTGCCCCTGGGAAATTTGGGGGAATGATTTCTCTTGTATACTTGTGGTCACAATGCAGGAGTCTTTCTCAAAGCTACTCAGCTACCCCCTCAATTAGGGAACCTAAGTCTATGAGATGGCTTAGATCTGAAAAAAAGCAGTGAATCATGACTCCAGTGATTTCAGTCAGGTATCTATCCATCAAACATAGAACTTTTCTAATGTGTCAAACAGATCTTAGCAGGCTGCTCGTCTATTGCACTCCTGGGGATCCTGTGATCAATTAACCATCACCAGAAATCCCTGTGGCACAAAACCCTCTGATTACTTCTCTGTAAGTACCACCTCATGGTCTCAATCATTCTGGGTTTGTATTATTCCCACTGAAAATAAGGAACTCAAGTCCACTGCAGCATCTCCCAGTCATTTCTGGCCTAAAGAGATGACACTTTAGGCTTTTCAAGGATGTTGGTATTCACTCACTAACGAATTTTTAAAGATTTTTTACTTTTCCTTTTTCTCCCCAAAGCTCCCTGGTACACAGTTGTATATTTTAGTTGTGGGTCCTTCTAGTTGTAGCATGTGGGATGCACAGTGCCATGTCGGCGCCCAAGATCCGAACCGGCGAAACCCCAGGCCGCCAAAGCGGAGTGCGCGAACTTAACCACTTGGCCACAGGGCCGGCCCCCTTCACTAACAGATTTTTAAAAAATACCTTGGGGAAGTGACTATCCTAAACTCATGCCTCAGAGGGTGAATGGGCAGATTCGCACAGAACAGATTCACATTCCATCTCCCTAGGATTTTGGACTCTGCCCTTTATAACATGCCAGGAAAGTTCTGACATTTCAACCTAGTTGACTGCAGATCGCCATGCCATTGAATCACTGTTGTCACCACTCCCAGGTTTTCAAGCCAACACACTAAATCAATTCCTGTGTGAGTACACTCGTTTCAATATGTCTGGCCTATTTTATGTCATCCTTTTTGGTCTAATACCCTTAGAAGCCACTCCCAAACTTGGTCCCTAGACTCCTACCAATGCAAAATGATGATATCCTACAACTCTTTTGCCTAACCACCTTCTCCTGGACCTGATCTTGTACTTCTGTTTGGAGTATGCTAACACCTAATTTATTATTTTCCAGGAAGTAAAGATGGATGGTAGATGTGGATCCTGAGGATAACTGATACCCTCTTCTGAGAATTATCTTAGGTGAAGTCATTGAAATGTTTTTTCTTGGGAGTGTGGGGGTGGGGTAAGACGATTTCCCTCAGACAGGAAGGGTTCCTTCTGCCAGCTACAAAGGACAAAATATTCCACTAACACTGTCCTAAGTTTTCTTCTGTTTCACCCTTGCTTCCAATTCATCCATTTTCCTTGTGTATACCCTGGGCATCCAAAACTAGCCCTCACAACAATCTCTGAAATCCTCACCATGGCCACAGCAACGAAGTGCCACAGCCACTTGATCCTCCAACTCACTGTCCTCCAACACCCCACACCACCACTAGTGATAATTTGAGTAAACATGAAATCACCACTTGCCACCAATTACAAGTATCCATTTGCCCCAACAAGAAAGTTATTTGTGTATCAATCAACCACGTAAGCAACCCAATCCCAGAATCCCACTTTCAGGCTGTTTCCTGGGGGTACTCCTGGTACAAATTACTAATTATTCAGGATTGCAGCAGGAGACGGATGGCATGCCCAAGAAGAGAGCGAAGTGTGTAGGCGAGGATAAAAAAAACCTACAAGAGATGGTGAAGCAGCCTGGGCTAAGCAAGAGCAAATACTTCCCCTCCTAAGATAAGGCAAAGAAAAGTGGTTCCAGAACCTGAGAAAAGGGCTATGTCAGGAGCTGTGATGCAGAGGAACACAGCTATTCCCAAACCACTGCAGGGTAGGGAGAAAGGCAAGAGAACAAACACCTCGACCTCTTTCCCTTCCCATCCAGCCTTCTCCTGACGGCCTTTCCCATTTGTAAAACCCAACCAAGAAACAGGGATTCTGGTTAACAGACTGCACAGAAGTCAGCTTCCTGGGGTATTACTGAGCAGGGTGAAGGGTGGAATGGATTTAAAGGGGAAAGCAGAGCCAGTTTAACAGGCTTTCACTCATGAAATATTGGAAACATCATAGAAAATGCTTTAAAGGGTGCTAAGTATCAACAGGAAAAAGACAGTACTGTCGGGACCACCAAAGTTCTGGGCTTCCACTTGCCTACTGCTGAAGGTCTAGCCCAGGAGGAGTGGCCTTACACCTAGCACAAGGGCACTCTCTTGAAGGTGACCTGCAAAGGGGTGCACTATGCCAAGCAGTAGGAACTCTCTACCTCTACTTAAGTACTCAATGTTGCATTTCTTCCTTCTAATGTTGGTTCCTTTGCAATTTTTCACCTGAAAAATGACCCTAAAAGAATAATGACTGTATACTTCTCCCAAGAAAATTCCTCTGAAGCTCCTCTCTCTTGTCTTAAACTGTGGGCAAATGTGCATTCTACTTACTGTATCTGTTTTGCTTTTATTATAAAAAGATTCTTTCCAAAAATTCAGATAAAATGAATGTCTCTAGGCGTTCAATTATCTTGTGTTAACTAACTCCTAACACACCACTTGCCTACCCCTAAGGGTATGTATACTCTCCTTGGAGAAGCTTGAGCTTAAGCGACCTCATTATCTTGACACTGTTACCATTTTTAAAGTACCACCCAAAGAGATCCCATCCTGATGTTTCAATCCTAATAGGAAAATAAAGGATTTAAGTACCTAACAGCATGCATCAATTATGGATGTATACACAAGTAGTTAAGTGCATAAAACGACTAATACCAGAGATGATCCCTGGAGAGGGGAGGAGGGAGTGGTGACTGAGGGTGGGAGGTCTTTAGCTGCACCTGCTATTCCTGAAATAAGTGGGGTGGAGATCTGAAGCAAATACGGCAAAAATGCAGTATGTGGTAAACCTAGGTGTTGGTTACAAGTGGCCTCTCATGAAATCAGCAAAAGCTACACAAATAAAGGCTCCCAGACCCCATCATCCCTGCCCCAGAATTGCTTGTTGTTAAAACATTTACCAGCATATCACCAAGTTTAGTACAGTGGAGTTCAGGCTCTGAATCTAGGCTAAGTTCAAATACTGAGCTCCACTCTTCACTGGACGTGTATCTTTAGCAAGTTGCTCAACATCTCAGTGCCTCTTTTCCCCATCAGTAAACTGAGGATGATAACAGAATCTACTCTATAAGGATATGTTAAGGAATGAATAGCTTGATACATGTGAAGCACTTAAATTCACAAAAACTATGACGGCATATTTATTTCCCCCATAAAATAAAATCAATCAATTAGCTCTCTTCACACTCCCTTTAGTTTAAGAGTACTAGTAGATGAAATTATTTGTAGGCATATCTTTGATTAAAGATACATGCACATATGTGGATATGTAAATCTATTTAGTTCTCAAGTTCAGATGGCAACAGTTCAGCTAGTGAGGGGCTACTGAGTTACTCAAATCTAACTGGTTTCTGAGTTTCAGATACTGAGTTAAAAATTCAACTGAAAATTTATCCAAGTGTAATGGATTCCTGAGTTTGCATAGCAAAGGCACATGCACACACACACACACAAATCCGTATTTTAAATCAATCCATGAGAGTTCCTATGCAGGAAACTATTAATAGAAACCAATAATGCTATACGTTAGGAAGTATGGTACAATGCAAAGAATGGTTTTGGATTCAGCAGAACATGGATATGAAGCAGTACTGTGTTCACCCAGCACAGGACTCAACAACTGGCAGCATCAAATACTGGGCTTTGACGGTGAAGAGGAATGGAGTAATCCGTTTAAGAACCAGCTAGATCTTTCTTATACTACTCTGCATTAGGGGATTGCCCCTTTCTCATACAAAGTCTCAAAAATTATCTCCCATATGTCCTTTATTCTTGGGATATGATCCACACAAATGGAGTATATGTAAGACATGAGATATAGGAAATGAGAAATCATGGAATCCAACACAGGGGAGAGGCAGCGACCCCCAGGATGACGGCAAAAGGAGAATCCAGGATAACAGCTGTGCACCAGCCACAGAAGGCACAGCTACTGCTGGACAAAACAGGTCGCTCCAGGAGCTTTCTTCAAGAAGATGGATGAAACTAATAGAACAACAGGTATGTCTGAACATATGGAGAAGATTCATACCTCTGGTAGTTTTGGGCTGAACTAGCATAGAAACCTAGGCAAACAAAGTCAATTATTAACTCAAGGTCATAAAAATGTAATACAGGAAGCAGCAGAGTGAAGCTTTATATTAGGAATTAAAGAAAGGTTAAAACTGAAAAATCAAGTAAAAGCAATCTCAGTGTTATTTGACTATATGGTAATTAAAAAATCAGCTGAAAGAGTTGAAAGTGTTTGCTCTGGAGACAGGAAATGGGAGGAGGTCACGGTAGTGGTATTTTTCATTTGGAAAAACAAAAATTTGTAGATCTATTTGACTCTTTAAACTATGTGTAACTTTGATTAAAAAAAAAGGAGAAACACAAAATCTAGCAGCATGCCTGGCTCACAGAAATTCCATAATGTTAATCGTTTTATTATTATAATGACAAGACAGATGACAGTTTTTCAAATCACCATTACATTCATGCTAGGGATAACAATGCTTCCTCTATTACAAATACTACTTGATCTTTTTAAAACACATTATTTACTATGCTTAGAATACTTGGGCATGCTTAATAAAATTAAAAAGATTACAAAACATTCCAAATTTTTTTTTACCAAGCAAAGTATCTAATTTTATACAATTTACACACAACTTTTAATTTTAGTAATAGAAACAATGAAATTATTTCACTTCTTGATACTCAACAAGACTTTAACTCCCAAGACATGCACTACAACCATGTAACAGATTCTGTCATCAATATGATGGTCGTGGCATTTTATATATTATGTTCCCACTTTAAATTAAGTCCTATTTACTAAAATCAAAACAGGCAATGAACAGGTGGTTCATAAAAAAAGGAATAGTCAATAACAACACTGACACGTTGACCTCACTTGTAATGAAAGAAATACAAATTTAAAAAATAAGGTACCACTCTTCACTTATGTTGGAAAAGATTAAATTAAAAAAATAATCAACAATTAACCAGGGAGTATGTAGGGGGGTGAGGGGTAGTCAGACACATAACACTAACTGGAAGAATAAACTGTACACCCTTTTTGGAGAGTAATTTGGCAATACTTACCAAAGCTCTAAAAAAATGTTTAATCCCTTTGAAACAATCATTCCACTTGTAGAAACTTTCTGAAGGACATAGTTAAACACGTACCTCAAAATGTGGTTACAAGGATATGCGTTGCACCACTGCTTATAGTAAAAACTGCAGACAAAATGTCTAACAGAGGAAAGAGAGTAAATCGTGGCACACCCGCCTCACGGCAGGCAGTGGGTTCCCCTCAATGCCGTTCCCCCAACCCTGCCTTAGCTTTTTCCTTACCAAGAGTCTACTTTCTAGAGGCTAATAATGTCAGATATTGGCTTTCTCAGTGACCTGATCTGAGTCAATGAAAACTGAAGGAAAATCTTCTGGGGGCTCTTGGGAAAAAGTTTTCTTCAAGGATAAAACTGAGATGTGAGAGGAGAAAATGGCCTTTCTTGAATTTTAGATGCAATTTTTTGAGGATGTGAAACTGGAAGTTACAGCAGCAGCTCTTATGCCCACCAGGGAGGCAAACCTAAAGCAAAATCAATAAAATCAGACCGAGGCAAAAAGAAAAAAAGTGTCCTTAATGACACTTCTGAAATGTGTGTTACGTGAGATAATAAATGCCCTTGGTTACTTCAGCCGATTATATTTGGACACTGTTACTTCTGGTCAAAAGCATCCTAACTGATATTAGCCATACAACAGAAAACTTTAGTGCCACTAAAAGTTATGCCACAGAAGTATATTTATGAACAGATGTGCAGTTAAGAGAAAAAATTACAAAACAGTATGTTCCCATTTTTCAAAAAACACCCAAGCATATTAACATGGATTCATCTGCCAAGAAAAACATCTGAAAAGAAAATCTAGGTTTTAGGATCAGTATCTCTGAAAGATAGGAATTTAAATGTTTCCTTTTCATATATCTGCACTTTCCACTTTTTTCTACAATGAATATGTATCACTTTAACATTCTGCCAACTTTTTCTATTCCTTCTGTCAATCCAATGCAATTTGGGGGAAGAAGAAGAGGTAACCATGTAATCTACTGAGCTACTTGAACTGGGAGTCAGCTTTTTTAATAGAAAAAGTTGTTTTTTTAAAACTGTTTTGTGAAATAAAATTTGATGCTATCAGGCATTTATTTTTTAGTGGATAAAGACTACAGTTTTCACTTCCCTTTGTTACTTAGGGAATCGCATCATGACTTTGTACCATTTCGTATTGGAATTTCTTCTGTGAAGCAAAAACAGTCCCAAAACGAAGGATCTTCAGGGGTCATAGGAACAGCAGATGATATTAAATCACTAAAGGTGAGAATAGTAAACTGCCTCTGGGTTGGTTTAGAATCATCTTGGGATGGAACCTAAAAGGGAAAAAAAATAGATTACCTCATTGTTACACAGCGTGTTAATCTTATAGTCAATTTTCTAACTAGGAAAATAAGACCAAATTACATTTCAGTAATATTAAATCACAACATGGCAGGATTTCTAGATAACTGTTTTTACTCCTTATGTTAATGTTACTGATATAACAAATTAAGGAAAATATGAAATAACCCGATTCTCAAAACTTTCTGACATAACAATAACCTGTGGTATTTGTTTAAAATGTGGCTTTACTGAGCCACACATTCAAAAACTCTGATTCAGCAAACGAATTAAAAAGAATCCCAAGATATGTAACTTTTAACAGGCAGGTGGGTTATTCTGATAGTGGGGGGCCACAATGTCACCTTCTGAGAAATACTCTAGAGGATGGATCTAACAAAATTCCCATAGCCAAACAAAGATGCAACACTGTCTTACACTCTAAGATAGAGCCCTTGTTCACAACTCAACCCAGTGTAGACTTTCTGTAATATCCCATGCATTCCAGTAAAGATAGTACTTGGGTTGTACATAGGGCTTTAACAAGGTCCAGTGCCTATTTTATGTGATCTATGTCTCACCACTATGCTGATATGGTTGTTATCTCAATTTTGTAGATGGTGAAATTGAGGCTCAGGAAGATCAACCAATTTGCTCAAGCTCACAGCAGGTTAAATGGTGGACCTGGGCCTAGAACCCAGGTCTTCTGAATAGTACTCTCGTCCAACTATGTACTCTTTTCCAACTATGTCAACGCTGTCCGAATAGGTTTCTCCAGTGAAACAGAAAGGAAGTATTGCATGTGCAAATATTATAAAAAATTATAAAAGCTCTGTTTCCATAGGCTATCTGCAGAGTGTAAAGCTAAGACTTGAGCACACAAGGACAGGTAACTTGGGTCAGAACATCTTCAGATAAGAGGATTCAGTTTTAACACGCCATCTCTTTTCAAAGAAGATAATCTATAAAGAATTTTAATCCTTAGTTAGTCTACTAAAGGCATGGTCTGTGCACTGAGCTATTTTTCCAGAGGTAATGATATACATATATTGATCATGCCACAGTCTCCAACACGGATTCCCTAAAAATAATGATATGCATATAGTTTCAATTATTATAACATTATCAGTTATATTATTAAAATTAAAGATATTAAAATATTATAATATATAAATTATAATTAAATATTAAAATTAAAAATTAAATAAATATTTCTGCAGAATCAGAACTATACGTAGGCTGAGGGTCCTGAGGCTAAGGTTTTTTTTCCTTCACTTACCAATTAATAGCTGAAGAAAGTAAAAACAAATTGTGATTTGAAGAATTGAGACAGATTTTATGCCACAATATGACATGAGTTGTCTCATGTATGACAGTGTAATTTTGGGAATACTACAGGAGATTACTATAAAAGCGGGAGGGGGTTCAATTTGCCAGATAATTTCATTACTCAACACCCTTCTACTTGCTCCCCTTATATTCAACACAGCCCCAACTCACTGGGAAATAAACCACTGTTAAGATGACTGAGATAGTGATTATCTGGAATTTCTACTGAAAATATACATACTAGGACAGTAGTATCAAAATTTTTTCTTTGTAATATTTAAGTGTATTTGAATGTGAAGAAGATAACATGCTTTTCAAAAATCTCTGTGAAATTGCAGATGATCTTAAGGATCTGATAATAAAAAACACTTCTAAATCTATAATCTTTAAAACAAACCTCTAACCTAATATAAACTACATTACTGTTTCCATCGACAAAGAAAAAACTCAACATTGACTCATGCTTTTCAGAAAACAGTCGGAGAAATCTTAAAATCTTACAACCTTATCTTTAGATCCATCGGGTTTCCTAAGAGCTACTGCAACAAAATGGTGCTCATCTATTTTGCTTTCCTGAAAAATAAAAGGTAAGTAAACACAGATTATGAAATATGTAAATTTAGATATACTTTTGTTTACATTTTTAAAATCTCAATCTCTCTCTACATATATAAACACACACCCCCCCCCCCCCCCCCCCCCTGAACCATTTAAGGAGAAGTCACATACATTTTGGCCCTTTACTCTTAAATGTTTCAGTATTTATTTCCTAATAGGGATGTTCTCTTATATAACCACAGTAGTTAATAACATCAGTAAATTTAACATTGAAATAATTCTTAAATTGACTATCTGTATTCTAAATTCTATGTACTCAGTTCTCATGTCTTGCTAGTGTTTCTTTTGTCTATTTTAAAACAGAAAACCCACTCTTCCTCCTCTTATTAACAGAATATTGCTCATTTTCAGTTTGTCTGATGTTTCTTAATAATTACATTTAGACTATACTTTTCCAACCAGAATACTATATGATGAAGTGTCCTATCTAGAGGTGCATCTAGACAGCCACCTGCTCTTGCTGGTGATGTGAACTTTGTATATGCTTGAAGTGTAGGTTTCAAAAAAATCAGACTGTCACTGGTTTATAGCATTCAGTTAACTAAATAGTATAGCCTATGGGAAATCACAGAGGAAATGTATACGTAAGACTTAAAGGATACACAGTTTTCTGTTTTCCCTTATGTATGAAACAAAGGGGGAGGGAGCTTTAAAATATAATAGATATTGAAGCAGTTACCTCAATTATGAACTATTAAAAACTATTAAAAATTTCACTGAAAAGCCACTTTACCAAGGCATTCCTCCAAAAACCATCAGTTGAATAGGAGACTACAATCAGAAACTCAAGCCCATTTTTCATACCCTCACTGTAAGATATCCAAATTAGCAAAAAATAAAATTCAGTAAAGATAACTTTAAGAACATTATGTTTAAAAAAAAAAATACATAACTAAGTATCATAAGATTTAATAGGTCACAGTTATTTTCCCTTTAAAAACAAGCTCACTATAATTATTATAAACAAAATTACTCCTTTTGATACACGGTCTTCCATTCTTTACACTAAATATATTAATAATATGAATACTATAACATACAGAGATGTTTTGGTTATAATTACTTTTGGAAAATCACAGCATGAGTTCTGCTCCGCTGCTATTCATGGGGCTCTCATGGCCACTTCTTCCAGAAATGGGTGGCCAGGTCCTTCTTCCTAGTCTGTCTTCATCTAGAAGCTCCACTGAAACCTGTTCACCATGGGGGACCCTGCCAGTATCTGAAATCCTGTGGCATAGCTTTCAGCATCACAGCAACACGCAGCATACCACAGTATGAGAACCAACACAGACAGGTGGTGTGGTTCTCTGACCAAGAAACAAACCACGACTGTGGCAGTGAGACCACCAAATGTTAACCACCAGGGCTGCATGCCCAAAGGCTGGTTCTTTAACTTGTGGGGTACTTTGGAGATGCCCTGACAGGAACATCCCACCTGCATTCCTTGTTTCCAGGGATAGTGCCCTTGGCTCTAGGCTCATCTCTTCCCATCAACCCATTTCTGGCTGTCCAGACCAGCAGACTCATTCTGTTATGTTCACTCAACCCTCCAAGGCCTATTTATAGTGTAGTAACAGTCCACACTTAAATATACTCATCTAATGTACTTACTATTTTTCAAATTTTCATAACTGGTGCATTGAATGGGCAAAACACTCAGGTACATTCAGTAAAGAACTGAATTTTTCTTCCATGGCTGCCTCCAAATATGCCCTGATGGATCTCTCTTCCCAGGTCCTGGACAAGCCCTTAGGCAAACTCCATAGCTCTTCAGTCGCTTTCAGTTACAAAAATCCCATTTTAATCCTACAACAAAGTCGTCCTGTGCAAATCCTTCATTTAGATTTAGGCACAAACTGGGTGGAAGGGCCAAACCTTCTCTGTACCTTGTTTTCAGTTACTAAAGAAGCCAGATTCCATCGTGTGGGAATAGAAGGCACGTTCTGCCCCTGGGCCTCACCATGCTCTTCCATTCTTCCTCCTGCACTCTAGTTTCTTTAAGGTAGGTGGCAGAGAGGAAGGGAAGTGGAAGGAAGCGGCAAAGTAATAACCAGTGCTGTTGTAATCTAGGTTTTGGAACTCTGGGTCATACCAAGCATCCCAGTGCTGGCTTAGTTCATGGGGTGGGCATCTGTGGAATTTTCATAGAACCGCCTCCATTTCTTCAGCCGTGTACCGCTCCCTAGAGCTAGCAGTGCATGTAACAGGCGACTCCGTGTAAATTCCTTCCCTCAGCAACTAATACAGAATATAATGCCCACTGCCTCTTTCTTTTGGAGCTCCTTTTGGGTGGGGTCATTTAAAGACACTCCGAGCCCAATTATAGAGCATCTATTTGGTCCAGAGGAACTCAGACACCTTTGCTATCCAAAAAACTAAAGAACAGCTGGCCCAACTGCTGACTCTTCCCTCTTCACTCTGCATAGTAGGCCCTACTGCAGCCAGGATCCTGCCTTCCAGTTCCTCCAGATGAGAAGCGGGTGCCAGTGTGTCTATCTTTACACACACCTCTAAACTCCTAAGAACACAAGCCAAGTTTTCCTACAAACTCTCTTAATGCTCTCTACTCTACGAGGGTCACACACAGATGGGCCTACTAGTGTGTCATGGTAGCAAGACCACCCTCCCACCACCACACAAACACACTTTACTTATATATAGGCTGGCTTCAGTGGTGGCTGGTGGACCAGTTTTGCTATTCTAATGAGTAACGCATAGATGTGTCTGCATTTCTTTTATATCAAAGGAAGAAATTCCATTTAATATTCTTTATATTTACTTTTGAAAAAAAAAATCTGTAATACATTAAGACACTTCCAAAAATAATACAATGTAAATGGTTGCTTGGGCAATGGTTGCTGGCTTCCTAAAAGACCTCAGATACTTCGAATTAAACCTGGAAAAGCAGAAAGATTTCCACCTAATGCTAATTCAGTTAACTTTTAAACATAAAATAAAATTTTTATTGGGTTAACCTGTACAAATGTAAACAAATTACTTTAAAATATGTAATATATTTTATAAAAATGAAATCTCCATCTCCTAACAAGTTGTAAAGAATATCTAAAGTGCTTATTGTAAGAAAAACTGAAACGGAATTTATCTAGAGATAAATCATTAAGACAAATTAGATCAAATCTGCCCTAAAATATATTAAAGTTAGTAACAAAATTTCAATTAATTCATGTAACAAGGATATACTATGAAAAAAACAAAACTATGTTCAGAAAAGTCTATTTGCCAAAGTCAAGAAGTTGGTATTAAGATTCTAACCCTCTAACTCAAAAACCTAACTACCATCTTCCACCACTGCCTACTATACACCATTGAGTGTTTCCAAGTAGCCTTTTATGTATACATAAATTTGTTTTCTAGCTGTAAAGATTCTTTTCTCACCGAACATCAGATAGAATAAAAGCAGGATGCCGATAACCATGTACATGATATAAGCTGCCTTTCCCATGTGGATACAAATTATTATTAAGCATCACCTGTAAGGCTGCAGTAAAAGACTAACCAGAGTTTGCTTCAGTTTTCTAATTAGGTGGTGTCTGAGTTTTTTCAAGTTATAAATAATGATGCAGTGAACATAAAACCTAATTTCTATTGAATGCAGGAGAGAAAGGTAAATGTTAAAATGTATAGTAAAAACTTTTTATCTGACATCAGTAAGAATAAAGGATTCCATGTCAGAGAAATGGCTGAGGCTTTCTCCTTTAAGCATGAGAATATTTGTTAATAATTTTGGCTATAGTTTTAAAATTGTACTTTCTTTAAAAATATAGTATCCTAAGTAAAATTTACTCTTTAATTGACAGAATCTCTACTTTACTTGCTGTCTTAGCAGTTTTAATATAGCTCTCTTTCTCACTATGCTTTCTGTCCTTAGACGCCCTGATACTACTCTCTTATTTTACTTCTTACCATTTTGGACACTCTTTCTCAGTCTCCTCCACTCCACTTTTAAATATTAGTATTCTCAGAACTCTCTCCATCCTAGGCCTCTCTTCTAACTTAGGTAATCTCATAGCTGCAACTTTAATACCCATGCCTTCAGCTACCATTCACACGTTAATGATTGTAATTTGTCCCCTCAGCCCAGCCTCCCATGCTATTCACCTACTTGACATCTTCACTTGGGTGTTTCTATGGCACCTCAAACTTACCATCTCACTTGTTCCCTAGTATTCAATATCTCAATAAATAGTCCGCTAAGTCACAGAACTGCTCATGACATCTTTGACGTCTCACTTTCTTAACCTCCACCTATCATCATAAATAGGACTTGGTCTTAACATACAAATCTGATCTTATCATTCTCTACTTAATATCTGTTAAATTCTCTTGAGAAAATTAGTGAATGCTTCCTATTTTATCCACTCGCCACTAATTCCTTATTTTGGGGACAGACGTTCTCTGCACACCACTCAGGTGATTACGGCAAAAACATTATAATACGACCCATTTGCTGGGCTCTGGACACCTGACACAAGCTGGACCAATTACAGTAGACCACTTCTTTGGCTACAATGATTGGTCACTAAATAAGCACCTGGCCCAAACTAGGCCAGGGAGGCCCTTCTCCAGGGCTTTTATAGCTTGGAACAGAAATGGATTTCACCAATCTCTGTGGGAGTTTACAGTATAAATAGTTAAATCCAAGAGTGGTAGGCAGCCAAGTTTCCTGCCACATAGACCAGAGACGTTAAGAAAGCTGGTGTATAGAACAAGAGTCGAGGGTGGGAGAAAACTGAAGCTAGGACATATGGAAAAGCAAAAGTAAAAGATAACGTTCTGAGTTTTTCAGTACCTAATTCTAAGGCCCAGTTACATGAATCACTCTAATAGCCTATAATAATGTCTTCGGCTTAAATGAGTTTGTGTTGAGGTTCTCTCACTAGCAACCAAGAATTGCTAGTAACAAAATACAAAAGAGGCCAAAATCTTTAAGCTGACCAATAATGCCCTGCATGATCTTACTAGTAGCCTAACCAGGAATCTCTCTCAAATCCCCTCATCACAGTACAAAGCGGCTTCCATGGCTGTTCATACACACGAAGCTCCTTCTATTCCAGGGCCTCTTTGCCCTTCCCATTTTACCTAACTCACTATGACTTAACTTTCACTTATCAGCTTAAATGTCACATGCTCTCATAGCATCCCTGACTTTACCTTCAGAGCACTAAGAGTGGATTCCAGTTGTGTCTAGTTTCAACGACTAGCCTCCACAAATTAATCTCATGCACAAACATGCACAAAATAAGGAAATTCTTACAGTTTTAGCAATTCTGATAAATTTCTTACCTCAAATGCCCATTCTTTTTCCTCTTCCCCATCCAGGAACAAACGTGTTTCTTTATAAACTTGGCCTATTTCCAGGTTTAAGGGGGATATATCAAATTCAAGCCGTTGCAATTCAAATCCTAGTCCAACACCAATGGCCTTTATGAAGCTTTCTTTCAGTGCCTAACATACAGAGACGTTTTCTCTTAGAGCACTTAGTAGATAAAATCGTTCATAAAATCTACAGGTCCAGCACATCTGGATTTTTAACTCTGTACTACATTATGGCTACAAGCTATTGTTTTGTAGTAGCATGGAGACAAATCAGCCATGTAATTTTAAGGCATATCATTTAAGCTCCCTGTGCCTCCATTCCCTGACGTGTAACATGTAATAACAATAGTACCCACCTCATAGAGCTGTTACGATAATTAAATTAACCAACTTATGAAGGGCTTAAAGTAATGTCTACTGGCAAATATGTAATATATAAGTGTTGGTTAAATAAGGCCTCGTGTACAAATTCCTTTGAGACAGAAAACATTAAACATTATTTATAAATGGTGAGAAATGTTTTGTTTTAGCTTTAAGAGTAACCACCTTCTAATTGAGCATTAAATAAATGTTAAATTTTCTTAAAGGTCATTATAATGTAATAACATACACATAAAAATCATGAAGTTCCCAAGTAATGACCCATTTAATTAAAGCAATGTATGAACTACTGGGTAACCAAAAGACTTTTGCTTCTATTTTTAGCAAAGATAATGGAATCACCATAGGCTTTTACTCTCAAAATTAGAAAGAAATTATACCCAATTCCTATAAAACATATCCAGCTGAGTCCATTCATCCTTAAAGCTTCTGATTGTTTCCCATTCTTTGTTGGTAAACTTTCTTTTCATAATATGAAAGAATTCTGGAATTGAACCACGACCTGTCAATTGAGGAAACACAGAATTAAAAACAGCTATTAACAAAACTCTTAAAAAGTACAAAAACAGAAAATTATAGGCCAATCTTACTTTTGGATACAGTCACAATAATCCTAAAGAAAATCTCAGCAAATCAACATAAGTTGAAAATTAAAAACTAACACATGACAAGCAGGGGTTAGCCCAGAAACAGAAGAGCAGTTTAACAGGGATAGTGAAATCAAATAATTAAGAACAACAATATGGCTATATTAATAGGTGCCTCCTAAAGATTTGGCAGCCAAACCTGTTATAAACCCTAAATAAGAGGAAATTTCCTATACATGACAGAATATCAGAAATCTACAACAAACATTCTTAAAAGAGAACCATACTATTTTGGAGTTTAAAACTTTACTTTGCTATATAACAGGAAAAAAGGGAACAATTTATTATAATTTTTTGAAAATTGGTAGAAAGCAGAGGATTGTTCTTTTATTCTAAGTTATCACTGTGATTCAAAACTTAACAATGCTTACTTCCTTCAAAATGATTGTTTTGCAACATGTTTTCTAATAAGACTTCTCCAAATAAACATAGATTTTAATTTCTATTCTTTTGGGGATGCTGCTGTGAAATAAGCTCATTTTTAAAAAATTTTAAAATAGTTCCCTCGCTCCACTGTTCCACAGACAACAAAATATTACAAAATATTCTAAAAATAAATGACAAACTCAAAGAACTTGATTCTCAAAATGGAGAATTAAATTAACAGTACATGGTATGCCTTTCATATTTTGTCAAAATATTATAACTATATGTTTGTCTATCTTTACTACTAGGCAGGAACTTTCTATTAACACTCATTTATTTATTCTACAAATATGCAGAATACTAATATGTATTGAACTAACAGTTAAAAACAGTCATGGCTCTTGCCCTCACACACTAAGAGCTAAGAGGCCTGTCAGAGAGCCTGGCTCAAAGCAGGTGAGCCACAAACGTTTACTGTATGAATAAATGAACATTAACTATTATTTGGTAAGTTACTTCCTGAATGCTCTACTGCCCTACATCCTTAGTTCATGACTACATTATTTTCCAGAAAACCTCTTCAAGGTAGTCCCTCTGCAGATTCTGTTAACATGGCTTGTCTACTTAAATCCCAACTCACATTTCTAAAATATCCAACTCCAAAACCTGACATTCCCAACTACCTGACTACCACTCTTACAGTGACAGCTGCCGCTACTCTCTACAGGCATTTCTGAGGGGGAGAAGTACGTCTGGGAAAAAAAAAAGACGTCAAACCCCTCTACTTAATGCTTTACTGGCATTTAATCACTAACAAATGCCAAGAAAATTCAACAAGTAGAACTTCTATTAATGATCATTCATTCTAAAAATACCCAAGTGCTAGATGACAGGACTATCAGGATGAGCAAAACAGACATGGTCTTTATCTTCACAGGAGTTTACATTTCTCTTGCAGTAACCTTAAGTACCTTTCCCATCGTTATCTCAAGGGCAGAAAACATTAAGTCAATTCTCCCACAAAACTGTTTATGATTCCCCTACCACCCCCACTTCAACACAGTCAAAATAGTCTCTTCTTATTTAGCCAGAAAATATTTCTGATGATCCTACAATGAATGGTATGTGGTCCTTTAGATAAAGACAAACATTCTCATTTATTTTCAAGTTGATCAGACTCATCTGATTCATTTATCTACTCCTTAGCACGCTATTCTTCTCAAGAAGAATAACTTAATTTCAACCCATTTTATGAACTCGATTAATGTCTATTATTTGTATCTGCTCATATTAATGTTAAAAGACAATTATTTCCTAAAAGTAGTCCAGCAAAGCTATAAAGTCATTTAATGTAATAGCACTGAAATATTAAACTGTGATCTTAAGAGACCCAGGGGAGGGGATTCTTGCCCTTTTTGGGCCATGGATCCCTTGCGTCCTGTTAAAATGCAAGCATTAGCAGTACACAGTACTGGCTCGACAAATAATACATAAAGCAAGCAAGCCTGCAAAAGTGACAAAAGCAGAGCGGGAGATTTTAAATACCAGGAGCACTGTATCTCCATACAGTTTCCTCTTGAATATACTTTGGCACAAACAGTGTAAATAACAATGGGAAGAGCAGTTACCTTGGATTTGGAAGACGGCATTAGATATTTCAAGTGGAACTGTAGTTTTAATGGAATACTATCTAAAAAGTCTAGAATTTTAAAAGATATGCCTGTTGTCATCTACAGTGTCATTTTATTTGTTAGTCTGTTCAAATTATAATGTCATAACCTTCAAGAAGTCCTCTGATTTTTAACTAAATATGATGGGGCAATCAAGGAAAAAAAGTTTAAATATGCATGCTAATAAAAAACGAACTGATTAACATAAGAAGCAATCTAGCACAATCACTGGAAAGTAATCACTACTGATTATGTACAGCTAAAAAAGTATCCAATATGAGTGTGTTTTCATACTTTTGAGAGCATCTTACCTATTTCACAAAATAAGAGATCTGACAACAGAAAAAGATGATTTTGTATTCAGCCAAAGCACAACAGCACCACACTGTGGCCTTATCGTGGAAATAAAATTCACAGTGAGTGAATATTAAATACAGTTTATCCAGGAAACTGGACAAATGAAGTACATTTGTCCCTCAGACAATCTGACAGCACATCAGATATGTAAGTTGGCAAATCCTCCTAACAATATCGTCACATACTCATGCCTATAACAATCTTCAATTCAATCATCTTTGATTTAATCATCTTATTTCACATGTAAGAACCTCTAAGTAAGACGAAATAACCAAAACACTGAGATAGAACTACTAATCAAGCTTAGAAAAACCAGATCCCCCATCTTATAGCTTAATCTTTAGGGAAAGCAGTGTTAAATATTAACTAAGTGTTCTGCAATGATCAATTAAACAAGACCACACAACAAGTAGAAAGTTTATTAAACATAAATATACAACAATTTATAGTCTATACCCTTAGCTGCTATTTTAAGTCTAGGAAAAAAAATCCCTACCAGTACCATAACCTCAAAGCCCACCTACATCAAGCTCTCTCCAAAACCAGGTCACTGATGTGCGCACATAACAGCGTCTCAGTCAAAGTTCACCTCTCTTCTCAAAGAAAAGGGGCCAGGTATTCTAGGGGGGAGCTGAGCAATGTCCATCTGTGTGCTTTAAAGTAACAAAATTTAGTTTTGGATAATAAGCCATATTAGAAATTCTAGTAGTTTCATTTTCTAAGTACTGGATTATATAGTCTTGCTTCCATTATATATAGTCTTCCAAAATTTGAGTTAATACGTAACACAATAACATTTGACTTTATCAGCTCACTTGCCTGGGAATTTATCCAGATACAAACCCAGAAAAAAACAAAAATGTCTGAGCCGCTAACATAGGTTTCACAAACCGCATGCACAAAGCCTCGTGTTACTGACAAAGGAACTCCTTAAGCCATCAGTACAAGTGGGGTACAGCAGAAAAGGCACGAGACTGAATTACAACCTAATTACAAACTCTCCACGGAGGCAATCCTCACCTTCAGTAGCTCTTAGTGTGTCTATGTAAATGTGCATTTATTAACACATACACGTATGCACACACACACACAAGGAAAGGGCCTATAGAGCTAGGGCTATTTGGCTGCAAATGTTATCCTTCAAGAAAAGGGAAGGACTCTGAAGGCAGGGGGGAGGGGCAAAAGGGTGTGGCCATCCTGAGGGTCCAGAGGACAGAACATGGAGCCACAGAGGATGATTCTCAGGCCCTTAAACCTAATGTAATTTGCCCTGCTGGGTTTCAAACTTGCTTGGGACTCATGACCCTTTTTTTCCTTCCAACTGTTCCCTTTTCAAATGGGATGTCTATCCTATGCCTGTCCCACCACTGTATTTTAGAAAATGATCTGTTTTCTAGTATCACAGGTTCACTGATGGGAGAGGAATTTTGCCCCAGATGGATCCTACTCAGAGTCTCACCCACATCTGATTTAGATCATTCAGATGGTAAGATTTGTAACTTTTGGATTTAATGATATTTAGAAGAGATTTTGGATTTAGCGTTAATACTGGAATAGGTTAAGACTTGGGGACACGGGGATAGGGTGAATTTCTTTTGTATGTGGCATGGATGTATATTGTGGGGGTCCAGAGGACGGACTGTACTGAGTTAAACAGTGTCTCCCAAAATTCATGCCCACCCAGAACCTCAGAATAGATCTTATTTGGAAATAGTCTTTGTAGATGTAATCAAGTTAAGATGAGGTCATATTGCATTAGGGTGGGCCCGGCAGCCCAGGACTGGTGTCTTTATAAGGAGAAACATTTAGACACACAGAGAGAATATAGGAAAAAAGGCCATATGAAGATGAAGGCAGAAATTGAACTGATGCAGCTATAAGCCAGGGAATGCCAAGGACTGCAAGGAAACTAGGGAGAGGCAAACGATTCTTCCCTGGAACCTTCAGAGGAAGTATGGCCCCGTCAACACCTTGATTGACTTCCATCCTTCACAACTGTCAGACAGTAAATCTGTTGTTTTAAGACACTGAGTTTGTGGTACCATGTTAGGAACTCATGGAAACTAACACACACACGCATACAATTAAACTTATATATAGACACACACACTCTGAAGAGCTTTAGTGTTATGCCCCTGGAGTCAAATGTTCAAATGCTGGCTCCCTTACTTGTTTACTGCTACTTATTTGACATCTCTATGGCTGTTTCGTAAATTATAAAATAGGGACAAAGAGTTGGGTAGATTAAGGAATAAACATATAAAGTGCCTGGAATTATTAAGTACTTAATAAATTTACTTTAAGGTTGTTGTGGTAGTTGTTACATGTATATCCTCTTTCGTGAATTGTTTTAGCAAGTCCTTCGTCCATTTGTCAAGTCTTAAATGGTTTTCCTATCAATACTTAGAAGCATTTTACATATTAACAATAGTAACCTTTGTCTGGTGTATTCGCAACAAATG